TGCTGGTTTTACGAGTGCGGCGTCGTTTTTGCGCGGCCGCGTGCGGCGGTCGTCGGCTACCGGCGACATTTTCTAAACGTTTATTTCCTTCATTACACACGCGGCGCGCTGTTCAACGCTTAACTTTATGTCCAATGATTATATTCGAACAGCAGTTTGAATTTAGAATAGCAGAATTAATAAAGCACACACCAGCGCAAATGCAGGTTAACATTTTGCACACAGAAGTTAAGTGTGCAAAGTGCAGCGACTATGAAAGAGTTAAATGTCGCTTGTTAGCAGGTTCAACAATGCGAAACGAGTCACAAACACATAAAAAACGAATTTTTATATATTTAATAATCAAACATAGAATATGCTAGCGTTAGTAATTTACGAATTGTTCGAATCGTGCCTCGACATTGTAATTTCGTGTTCACGAGTGCGCATGAACCGCTTAGTGTACATTACACACCGCAGCATAATGCTAATGCGGTAACATCTTCGGTAATTAATTGGCGTTAATTTATGGGCGCGCATTTACAACTATTAGCTCCAGCGGCGGATTATGAATGGCGGTAATATGCAAAAATGTTCGCATGCTCACAAACGTTCAGTGTTCACTCGGGAGACAAGAATAAGCATTGGGAATGAAGAATGAAGGCGAGCGCGCATGATTTCCATGATTCCATGAGAAATTTTCAGCCGAGCGCCGCGGACGTAAATCATAACCAACAAGTCAAACACACAACAACAACAACGAGACTCGAGTTAGAATTAAACGGAATTAACAGGCATTACAGGCGCTGGGACAACGAATTAAAACGATCTGGTGGGTCGACTTCTCGACAAGAGAAGAAGAAGAAAAAAAGACGAACAACAGGTTTAGCGAACAATGAAAGAAATTAAACACGAACAGTTGTATTTTGTCGATGATAAATTGGTTTCCCAAGCATTTGGAAGTGTTGAAAACCAGTTAATAAACGTAAAACGCGCATTATTAATTATGCCAAACTGTGTGTGCACCTTTCTATCTCCTTATTGGCTTTTTTTCGTTTTTCCAAATAGATTTCTCGCGCGTAGCGAGTCGATTTTATGCGTTCATTCTATGCGCAATGCGCAAAGTGAGAGTGACTTAGTAGGCCCTTTTTTGCAACACAATGTGCAATACTAAATTTCGTTTCGTTGGGTTTTATCTTCGCGGCGGCGAAAATTGCGTGCGCGCGCAATTTCACAACGCGAATGGTACACATCTGTAATTGTACACTCATTATGGGTTTGTTTTACAAACGAGAAATGATCCGCTATAGCCGAACCTACACCTCCTCATTGTGCAATAACGAGCGACCAAAGACCAACAACGACAACAAACGCAACGTACAAGAAGTTTGTAAGAAGAAGTAGATATAGCATAGTACTTAACTAAGTCGACTTAATGCATACGCTTTGGTTTCCAATTGATAATTAGCTCGCCGAGATAATTATAAATATGCGCGCTTGGCGTAAGCAGGTAGAATAGATTTTTCCGGCATGTGTCAATCATAGTACCTGGGATAATTAAAACTATGCAAAATAAATAAAATTTACTATTATTTCTACTTGTATTGGAAAAGAAAAATATTGCTCTTTTACTGTATGTGTTGAGTGTTTGCCAAGTTGACGCATTAAGTAAACACGGCGATAACATGATTTAACGACGCCATTTGCGTTCGTGGCGCAGTAATTGGCCGAGCGTCGTCGCAGGTAAACCTCCTCGCGCAGCGCGAAAAAAAAGGGGAACACGTGCGCATTGTGCTCTCGGCAAAGATTTAAGCTATTCTGTGCGCGTGGCGACACGACCAACAATGCAGCACAGCCTCACCTTGCAAGGCGAACCGAAATGCAGGGGACGCGCACAATGCGCTAATTAATCCGCGCGCGCGTCCCATATTTATGCGCGCCGCCATGTTAAGGCAGCAAACACGCCGGACGGAATTTCATTTGCATGTATTGAAGGCCTAATTAAATTGACCTGGCAGCGCAACGAAAAAATGTCACACATATAAATTCCAATCCGTTCGGCATTAACCCCTCCAACCTAACCTAAAATAACTTTTCGCATATTTGCGGGCGCATCTAATGTGATATTATAAGAAAATGTCAAGTCGCACAAAGAGTTGAACGTGTTCTGCGCCGCGGCGAATCGTAAATGCTTTACATGTTTAAGGAGTAGCCACACAAGAGAGCCATTTCGTGTGCGCGCGCCGCATTCAAAAGCGTATCGCCATTTGCATAATGCAATTAGCAGCGGCGCGCGCAAAAACCACGCACACGATATCAGTAACGATTTCATTATGCAAATCGAACGGCTAGAAGAAATGTAAATCATCCACACATCGCGCGGAAAATGTTAACAACTGTTTGCGAGACTCCAAAGACGAGAAAGTCCGAAAAAGTCCCGTCGATATATTGATCCCCCGAGTGTTTTATGCTAATTAATCTGTGATTTGAAACGCTGCGCATGTTGAAAAACACTTCTCTACACACAGGCGCTTTTTTTTCTTCTTCTCTGCGCTGTAAATTACTTACATTTGTAAACCTGGCTAAAGTTTGTTCAGTTTAGGTTAGTTTAGGTTATGTTAAGATAGGTTATGTTACAAGCATGGCATCGATGTTGGCAGTGTGGTGTGGTAATAAGTAATGCTAATGGCTTCTGACACCATGTAAGGATGCGCGATAAATTACTCGTTTTTGTGCGCGCGATTCAAACAAATTCGAAACCAGATCTTCGCGAGTTTTGCGACTGACGTTTACATACCAACATGGCAGGACGAGAATCTGCGGACTAGACGAAAGCACGTAGGCGTTTTATTGATGCTCTCGAGACTCCTCTGCACTCCTCGCGTGTGTTGTGGTTTGTTTTTTTTTCGTTCGTTTGCTTAACTTCCACGTTATGCGCGCGCGCACGCGCACGAGATAACCGTCGACCAACATAACCTACATTGTCCTACACGGTCTATCAGCGCACGTATATATTAGATGTCGAGCAGAACGCATTTTATGTCAAATAAATGCAAATTGTGCGCTGTGGAGCCCTTCGGGCTAGAAAATATTTGCATAAATTTAATTCAAGTAATCACTTAAAGATAGACCAAGTGTTTTAAAAGCGCATGCGTAATAAACAACGATGAATTTTAAGTTTCGACCATAATGAGTTGTAAACAAATGAATTTACGATACGTTTACAACGTTTGTAATTGCATGGCGTGCGCGTTTGATCCGAAGGAGCCGAAGATAATTATGTAATTATTATCAGCGCATTATGAATGGTAATTAACTGGCAATGATGAGGAAGAAATGCGAGACGGCACCGGCCATGCTGCGTGTTACAATCGGTGTGGTCCTTTATGATTGTTCAATAACTCTGTAAACGACCACCGCGCTACTTCAACAAGACATACAGTATGTTTAAATAACATTTACCGCACATTATTGCGTATAAATTTACCGAAATAATTAATTTACTGCTTTTTATTTTGTTGGTGAGTGTGGATGAAGATGTAATTTTTGTGGGCCGGGCGCAGATCGTAATGAAATTGTTAACATCGTTAATCGAAGCGATTTCGAGCGATGATGATGCGTTAATTTGCATAATAACATCTCTCCCGAGTGCAGATCGCCCTGCACGCGCGCGAGTACAGAGATTTATTGTCGCTGGTATGTTGACGTGCGCGATTTCTTCATCGTGGTGGTTGGTGAGCACACAAAAACAAAGATGGAGTAAATTTAAATTTGCGTCGACTTTCTGCGCATTGTGCAACCAGATAAAATAGGATGTAACGTTCATAAAGCGAGCCAAGTGTATGAAACTATACAACTACGAATGCGCTGAGATTGTTACGCAATGTCCCCCCGCTGCAGCGGAGTCGACGACGTTCGTGCAGAGACAAGACAACGCGCCATTCTGGAGCACCTGTGCAACTGGAGCACTCACTCGGTGCTGACGTAACGCTATTCACATTCAGATTTATACAGGAAGTCAGTAATGGCCGTATTATTCGATCGATCGCGATTAATTGCCATGCCACCAAAACGCATACAATATTACGCCAAGGTATGCAAAATAAACGCGTAAAATGCATGGAGGATGCAGATTACTGAGAAGAGCTGTTAACTAACATGAATTCAATTAGTCATACGGATTATACTCATTAAAGTCAAAAAGTGAAGATAATATAGGTTAATACATAAAGTGAGTATTTTTTGTTTAATATCACGCATGGTCAAAAAATATAAAAATCATTGGTTAACTTTGAACGTATTTTTTAGGCCTTTTGTTGAAGTCGTGTTAGTTAGAACATTTATAACTCAAGAACGGTCGGACCGATTTTGATCCTCTACGATTTGTAGGATTTATCTTAAAGCAGAAAAGCAGAATAACTATTAAAATATTAATAATTATTACTTAAAGGGTGTTGAATAAGTGATGAAAGTTGGAATAAAGATTCAATCATAGTTATAGTTAAATAATTGATTCCGAGATGGCGCACATGTGCATTATTAGCAATTCTCATATGTTTAAAATGGACAAATGATAAAAAGAAGATTTTTTCCTGTTTGGACATTGAAATCACCGAAAAAGGACCACAACCGACAAAACATATCAAAATATCCTATTCTCATGACACCCAATTATATTCGGCACAATTTCAATACCTCACAACTTTTTTTGTCAATATAGATACCGAGATAAGCAATCATCGGGGTGAATAATTGCGAATTTCATTGAGACGTCACTGCTTGAATGGCGCACGAACAAAAGCTATCCGCGCAAATCGCTTCTCACGCGCCGCGTTTAATTATGACACTGACATTCGACAACAATGCGCGTCAAACTCACCCGCCTCACTCTCACAGTACCAATGAAAGTGCCACAGACACGCGCGCAGATATTATCGATCAATGATCAATGAGTTAATGTTGCGCGGCGGGCGCAGGCAGTGTTGTGCCGATGCGTTATTCATATTTTTCGCCACACTTACCAATATGGCCGACGACGACGTGCCGCTCGCAAATCTCGCATAAGGTGCTCTTCTCACTGCCTCGGCAAACTGCAAACAGACGAAACGAAACGCTCGTAAATAAACTTTCTATTATTTTATTTATCATAACAAACGCTCAAGTGGTCGCTACGATGTGTTAAATGCATTTGCAGCGTTTGCAGCATTGAAATCACTGAATACGTATTACTTATTTGATTTAAGTCCTAATGGCGGCCGCTGTCCACTTGTCATTGGCGTGCGTTCGATGGGCAGATAACGAATGAGTCACGTTTTCATTAAATTAGATTAATTGTTGCTTGTTACACGAAATGTGCATGACAAGAGTTTTAATAAAATCGAAAACGGGGTCGAGCTGGATTTACAAGAGCTTGAGTTGAGTTGAGCCTTGATTTAAGGTTTTACTTTAGTGCACTTGTTGTGGCGTGCCGTAATACGATATGTTATTTTATTGCATATTTACGCTAAACCACTGCGTAATTGACTCGCTGGCGGAAACCTACTTGAAAATTGAGTGAAAATCGAACTATTTTACTTCAATATCACATTGAAGGCAGTAAACACATAAATGTTTCAATTAATCTTCGCTTAAAAGCAATAAAATGTATTTTTAACTAATTTTAATACCACTCGCGCCATCTATCTGTTTTACTACCGCACTAATGAATAACATGCGTTTGTACTTAAATCGAAAATTTGCAATATCCTGCAATCGACGGAAATCCCCGCTGCGTACAAAACTGTTTTCTCAACTTACCAACAAAAAAATAAACACACAGCTTCCATGCGTATTTAAATTCCATGACGGATCAAATCCAGGCGAAGAACAAAGCGCAAGATTTAAATAATTTCCTTTGTGCATTCTATTGCATTGCGGAGCAATTTATATGCATTTATGGCTAATAGTTAATAATAATGCGGGTGGTCTTTAGGCCGCAATTACACATTTCCTCATCCGGCATCGCACCATCTTCGCTTTGCATCTCCGCGCCGATTTTCTTGCTGTTTCGCCGCAAGACTCGTTATGATACGTAGGTATAACGCGCCATTGTTCTTCCACCTTGTACGCGTCGTTTTATGCGATGATTGTTTGGATGCCTGCGCAGATTCCACCTTAGGTGCCATATTCTATTTATTGCGTTCAGCGGTTGTTATTATCGCTGGTCGCGTTCTGGTTCCTAGTTAGATGTGCGCGCGCATTGTGTGGAAATGAAAATTTCCTCCGCGACTCTTCTATCATAGAGGGCGCTGCATGTATAATACATGTGTGTACGTGTCTGCAAAGTACAAAAATTTGCCTGCTGCGAGTGTTGTGATCTCGTTTCGCTTTGGAATCGCATTACCGACCCGTTTCGCCAGCACGGTCGTACTCGTACCTTATGTCCTTATCCAGTGCCAACATAAACATCGCCCGGAATGTTAATTGAACGCGAGGCAAACTATTTTATCGCGAGCGCGAACATTATAAATATTCAAGTCAATCAAAATAGAATAGAGCACATCTCGCAGGGCACTCTGTGTGCGTACCTCAATGTGTACGTATGGTGGAATAGATTGTGAGAATGACGATGGCGTTTGTGTTCGCAGAGCGGCGACGAAATGAGCCCCGTTTGTAAAATGTCACGTCGAACGCCGTAAAAGTCGTCAAAGATGTGAACGACATAAAGTACCCGGCGCATGTGCACACACACCGGCCGACGACGGGGACTGATTTATAAAATCCAAAGTCGGGGATTCAATTTCCAACATTTCAACATGGCGCGCGACCGCGCTCGTCGTCGTAGATGGGCCGAAACCATGCGCAGTGCAGCAACAACAACAAAAAAAAACCACGCGCGCCAGAGGAGCACATAAAAACGATTAGGAAATTTTCCACCTCACATGCTCGGTCATCCTTTCTAAAACAACTCTATTTAGCCGTGCGCCGACATTCGGACACCATAAGAACGGTAACACCGCAACCGCACATAATTGAACTCCAAAAAAAGCATTATTCGCACTCTTGACGTGAAGATGTTACTGCCAAACGCGGCGGCGTCACAAAACAAAACGAATTCGTAAAACACGATTTTTTGTTCGCTCTGTGGTTCATTACAGACTGTCAACGTTGATAATGATAATAGCGGGACGCATGGCGAAAGCTCGTGATTTTTTGCGTGTTTTTAACACGCAGGGCGCGTTTTAGTACTTCCTCGTTGGCGCACTGTATTCACAACTGATTATAAACCAGCTTCTTTTGTTCCTCTAAGTAGGTACTAGAGCACCGGATGTAGAGCATTTTGTTTATGACTTTAACAAGAGCAAAGAGAATTGAGAAAAATATCATAATTGGAAATTTACGATTGCAGACACTTAAAGCATAGAAAAATAAAACATAATCGTCTAAAAAACGACGCAACAGAAAGAAAACAAAGCCCAATAACGAATTCGCATTTATCCAGTTTACGATAACAGGAAATTGAACGTTTTACACCAACCGTAAATTTTTACACACAATGCTGAATTTAAATTGAATCGTTTTACATCATTATTATTATTACTTGGCTAAATTGTGTAATTTAGCAATCATGAATGAAATGACTAATCCAAGGATCTCCATCTCTCGTGTTTTTGTTTCGGTGTCTTCGACCTTGCGTCGATTTTAAATTCGCAATTTCACGTCGCCGAAGAAAAAAATCGAATCGAATCATGCGATTTGAGCGCAACTTAAAAAACACGCACAAATTTATTTAAGGTTAGGACGCGAATGAAGTCAATGGGTCACCCTTGAAAGACGTGAAACAGATCTCGATTCGCTTCGACACAAAACACAACGTGGTTAATTAAGTTTTGTGTAACCGCGCAGCGGCGGAGTTAAAAACTGCGTCGAATCGCGCCGGAGTCAAGAGTATTATTTATTAATTACACCGCACCTTTATACACGAGTATTGTGCGATTACAAAACGGAAACCCGAAATTTCACAAGATCACATACATCAGAAATATTGTTACACACTTAGCACCTCATAAAAACACGCGAATTTCTAATTTGAACAATCATATTGATCAAGATTGTGTACAAACTAATGCTAGATGAGTTTCTCGGCGCGGTGTAAATTTTTACTCGCAACATGTTGTGTTGGGTTGTGTATTGTGGGTGGAGATCATTCAAGGCGTGCCGTGAATTTTCGCGCTCGACGACGACAGACGGATCGCGCCCGCCGTTTGATGTTGCGATAATGTTAGGTAACGCGTCGATATGACTTATGGGCGCATGCTCAAGCGCATGATTGACCCCGTTTCGCAATCCACGGAGATTTTCGAGAGCACAAACGAACAAATAGTACAGGTAGCGCCATCTATACACAATAAAAATAACTAACTCAACCAGGATGTAAATCCGCCGATGATAAAACAAATCGCGAGCAAGGTTTGTGTTCTGACGCGTGAAAACACAAACGCTGCGATCAATACAATAAATATCGCGAGTGAATGAAATACGAAAATACATCCCGAAGGCATTCGCAATATTCTTCTCACTTGGCGCACACGATTGAGCGATAATCCAGCGTTAATTATTACATCGCGGCACGCTGATTTGTTTACGGCGCTCGATGCACGTTGCATTAAACTGCAACAAGGCGCAATAAATATTCGCTTACGCTCTGGCAGGCAATACCAGCCTCTCTAGCGCTATGCGCTCCGGCATCATTGTCGACATATTAATTTGTGCGTTTTTATAACTGCGTCTTAATACACGATCCGGCCGTCGATCGTGCCCATTACGATATTAAACTTGCGCGGGATCGATTCGATTCGCGAAGGACGCTGCCAGAGCCCGGCTTTAATAATTTTCCCAAGCCTGCTGCAACAACAACAACAACAACAACGGACAGCTTTTAAACCAAGTTTATAATCGACCACCGCAAGATGATGATTTTTATTCCGTGGAATTATTTATTACAAAATGTATAAACTGTGCGTTTATTATGCATGTGTAATACATCTCCAACCGACTAATTACTAATTAAAGTGTCGCTTTAGTAGACTACGACGTTGATGACTTTGTGAGTTGGACGTTTTATTTTTTTGTGCTGTTTCTAGTTGCTTGCGCCGATAAAGTCAATGATGTATGGATCTGGTTGGCAGCCGTGAACGCATAATTACCGATTGCTGCGCGCGCTCCGCATCGGACAAATATCTGACTAATTAGCGACTTTTTTAGGGATTTTAGGTCGTGCGACGGGCAGCGTTAACCCCGCCGAATGCGCTTGAATGATAATGAATTGGCCAATAAATAAACTCCTCGGCTATATTTGGACGAAATCGCGCGTTTCGCATGCGCGGACGTTAATTACGAGCGTGCGCAAGCCGGGCGCGATTAGTCCGACGCGAATTGCATAATTCTAAGCTAATTAATTATCGCGAGAAAAAGTAAAGAAAGTGCGCACACGCATGGCACAGCAACTCGTCCAATAAATGCGCTCGCAGTCAAGACCTAATCTCGATCAGATACGTGTTTTTTTCGTGTTAAATAAATGTAGATTCTTGCATGTAGACAAGTGCAATAATGCCTTATCGTTTTCAGAAATGTTGTAACGCGTAATTTTGTGCCATTTTAGTGTATTAATTAGTTTGAGATGGTGCGCAACACAAAAATCATTATCAAGTTTATTTTAATACTAGATTTTGCCGCGACGTAATTTTAATAAATTTTTATTTTCTTGAGTCTAATATGTGTCGACTCCTTCAAGAAAATTTAAAATTTAGCTTATAAAAATTAAGAAATGCTTATATTGTATTTTAGCGCCATCTAGGATTCAATTACTTAGCTTTAACTAAGATTGAATCGCTATACAAATTTTCATCCCTTATTAAAACCCTTCAAGTTATAATTTTTGATATTTTATTAATTATTCACCTATTCAGAACCAAGATGAATCTATAAAATCATAAATCATCAAAATCTATCCAGCCGTTCTTAAGTTATAAACGGTGTAACTAACGCAACTCTTTTTTATATTAAACATAATAGAATGTAAGAAAAAAATCCAGTAAAATCTCACAAATTA